GGCAAGCACATCTTAGTCTTCAAAGTGATATCTTTTCTTTTTGATAATTTAAAGAATTCTTTTGCATCAGAATTTCCCAGTGCAATACAATGTTTGATTTCTTGACAGCTACTTCCATGGGAATAGATTATTAACCTCAACCTTATGAAATTAGTAGAATATGTATTTACCTCTTTGAGCACCTGGGATATTTTATTTAGCTAGCCTAAATTAGTTACTCCTGAATATATCTACAAGTCAATTTTAGAATATCTTTCTCTTGGGCACTAAACATGAAAAATTATCAAATACAGTAATGAGTGGTTCAGTTTTTTTTTTTTTTTTTTTTTATCCAAAACACACCACAATTTTTTATCTAAAACACATCACAATCCCTCTGAACCTCAGATTCCTCATCTACAAAATGCAGAGATTGGATCATGATCTCCAAGAACCCTTGAAATGTTAGCAGTTACAAGACTCTATCACTTTTTCATTTACTGACTGAGGCCAATGCACACTACAGGGCTTTTCTATCCCAACACTTGGAAATTTGTATTTCTGCAGAAGATACTTCATGTCTTCCCAAACAGGTGTTCACACAAAATCTTCAAACTAATTGCCCCCAAAGTACTGAGGACAATAAAGATAATTTAAAAAATGTGTTTATGCTGTCCTAGAAAACAAAATGTGAGTAGTTATAAATTTTGCCATAATATATAAATATTTTTCAAAATGCTAATGTAAGTGTGTAAGTTGACCATTATTTATAGGAGTGAATTTTGGCAACAGATAGAGTATATAAAAAGGTTCTGCAAAAATAGTTTTATTTCACCAATAGAAAATAATAAAATATTACTAAAATCAACTGTAATTTACTATCCAGTATTTATTTTTCTTTAGGTAATTCACACCATCAGTGCCACTGATAAAGATGATTTTGCCAATGGACCAAGGTTTACATTCTTTCTTGATAAACACCTGTCTGTAAACCCAAACTTCACTCTGAAGGACAATGAAGGTGAACATATATATTTTTTTCTTTCTTTCTGATGGGTGTGGTTTCTGCATTGACTTGATATACAAAATAGATTTGGACAGTTTTCCTTTATTCTAATATACTCATGAACAGGTTGCAAATAAGCATTCAAAGTCAGTCTGATGTTAATGTCTTACGATCTGTGAATAGCTTATATTTAAAATTGAGCCATATGTACAAAAAACTGGCATTGAATTTATTCTGATTCATCCCTTTAAACAAGAAATGTACATGTAATATGCTCTTGGACAAATTTTAAGAGAAATCTTTGCTGACAAACATGTTTATGAAAGCTGCTGCAATTGCTTGGAGGTGGAAAAAATTTAAATTAGAAAAATTGAAAAATATGTCCTAGGGACAGTTGGAAAGAAAATGTGGTGTTTGAAATCTTCCTTCATTAGCAAAGCTATCATGATGTGCTGTACAAATTATATTTTCTTTTGTTACTATGGATATTTTTCCAAAATATAGATAGATGAATATGCATAATTATAAAGTATGGTGGGAAACTTTGAGTTATCTTTGTGTAGCCATCTGTATTGTGTCTGGAAAAAATTAAAAGAATTCAGAACTTGGTGACTGTGTAAGATTCTTCGTGATGCAGATTTCCCATTTGGTAGAGTCTTCAAGGTTGTGTAAAAGTCATTCTTTCATACTTAAGGGATGAAAAAAGCTATTTCATATTTGCAGTATTATGGTTGGTGCTAACGATTCCCTTCCCCAAACAATTATTAATCATTTGGTCTGAATATGCAGTTATTTGGGAGTGAATACTTCCATCCAAATCACATGAAAAAAATGTACATAGATGTTTTAGTAAATATTTCATTCTTTCTATTCTATGTGCCCTTCAAGTGGATGCATTTTCAAACACAAACAAAAAATAGCATTAGATTAAGTGAGACCCTGTTGAAAACATTTTCTCACAGCTGCATTTTCTCCTAAGCTTCTTTAAATTGCTCTGGCAAAGACATCAAAGTGAGCCTGTGACCGTACAAGCTTTTTATGAGCTTAGTGTTTGATTTTATCTCCCATGTTCAGTTATCCTTTGTATTGATGTTGTTGTTGTTGTTAGGTGCCATCAAGTTGTGACCCTGTGCACAATGGAACAAAGCATTGCCTGGTCCTGTGCCATACTCGTAATTGTTATTATGTTTGAGCTCATTGCTGCACACACTGTGTCAATCCATTTCCCTGGTAGTAGTCTTCCTCTTTATGGCTGAGCCTACAGTTTACCAAGAATGATGTCCTTTTCCAAGGAGAGGTCCGCCTAATAACATGTCTAAAGTACATGAGACTAAGTCTGGCCATCCTTGCATCCAAAGGCCATCTGGTTATCCTTATTCTATGATAGATTGTTTTGTTTTTCTGATCTTCCATAGTAGTTTCAATATTCTTCTCCAACATCACAATTCAAATGCATCAGTTCTTATATGATCTTTCTTCTGCACTGTCAAGCTTTCACAAGCACATGAGCTGATGGGTCAGGCACCTTAGTCCTCAAATGCCATCTTTATCTTTGCTTTTTAACACTTTAAAGGGGTCTTGTATGGCAGATTTGTCCAATGTAATATGTCATTCGTTTTTTTCTTTCTACCTTTCTCTTTTTCTGTCATTTGATTTCTTAACTGTTGTTTGCATGAGCATTGATTGTGGATACAAGTAAAATTAAAACTTTGAAAACTCAAAATTTTCTCCTTCTATCATAAT